CCCCAAAACCCCAAAACCCCAAAACCCCAAAACCCCAAAACCCCGAGGTTGAGAGATCATATTGAAGTTATTGAGACTTTGATTGCGCCATTGGAGGCTTGGTCAGGAATACCAAACAAAAGAGAGCAATTCCTGTGGTTGTACACAGAAGGATCATTGGAATTGGTTCTTGTAGATCTGACATTAGGTATGACAGGATGGTTAATCCTCTTGAGCCAAACTGAGTCACTGAGAAGGCGAAGCTAACAAAAAGAGGGGGAAAGTACTCATTGTTTAAGTAATATGATAATGTAAATCCTCCTCCAATTCCGATGAGTACAAAAGCAATACACATAGAAATTATCCAGCCTTCTTTGAAGAATATTAACCCAAATCCAAATATGAATCAAATAGTCAAGCAAGCCATCATGGAGATCTTGGTTGAAGCATAATTTCTGACTCCAAGCGTAATAAGTTTGCCTCCAACATTAGAAAAAGCAATGAGGCTTGTGTTCAGGAAAATATTTCCTCCTAAATTTTTTGTATCATAGCTCAATAAGAAATAGTTAAATGAGCAAGCTGTCCAGCAAATGGTGGAGATGGCCAAGTTCAATGCTAACTTAGGTTGTTTCCTCATCTGTTTCAATGGATTCTTCTTTAGTGTCAAGTCTTCTTTCTCTTCACCATCCTCAAGTGTTTCTTGGCTGGCTTCATCATTATCCACTAAAGATAACAAAAACTAAACCTAATTCTTTGGCTGAATCTTGGCTTTTATTCTGAGTCTTCCCACTGAACTTCCAGCACTTCTGGTGTAATCCGGACTTGTTGATTCTAGATATTCTATCAACTACAATTTTAGCCTGTTCAAACTCTCCCTTGTCAGCAAGAAACCGAGGAGATTCAGGCAGGAATAGAGAACAAACAGCTAGGATAAGAGTAAAAATAACTGAGCCGTATCCAAGATATCTCCAGTCATTGCTGATGAATCTGAAGTAGAAGGCACCTAGTGGTAAAGGAATGTTGTCAAGAGCAAGGATCACAGTAGCAACCACTATTTGTTGTCTCAATGGGCATATTTCAACGCATATTATGTATGTTCAAAACTTCTGAATTGTACAAATTCCGAGCATGAACATCCCTATATATCTAGCATAGAGGTTGGGGATAAACACTATCGAAGTCATTACGAACACTGTAGCCCATGTGAATATGACCACATTGATTTTCCTTCCGAACTTAGAAGTGTAAATCAAAAGTATCATGCCTACTATTAATCCTGCAAAATACAGAGCTCCGAATAAGCTGACTTTAAAAGGAGCTACTCAAAACAAATCAAGCTGCGTGATCCAGTTCTTAAGTGATTTCTCGTTAGTAAAGTCAGGTACTGCTCCTGGTATCAGATTGCTTCCATCACATGGATCTATATGTTGAGATGTACCTGTATATCCTTACCTATTCCAGCATCATCTCAAAGGACAAGATCTCCTATTGAATTTTGGCACTGCATAACCTGCTTTAAGGTAAAGAAGCTTTGGATGTACACTATTAATCCTATTGGTATAAAGAGAAGTGTTGCGATTGTTCAGAAGATCCATTGAAACTTTCCAAAGCCTCCAGCTGCTATTATAGCTTCTTCTATTTCAGAGATTTTAAATTCATGGTCTTCTCCTTCATCTCTATCCTCACATTTTCTGAGTTCAACATTATCAGGAGACATCTATGGTGACATAAGTCAAACGAAGAGATAATTTAGTTACTGATAAAATAGGCTTGAACTCCTTTTTCCAACAATTATAGAAGGTTTATTACATTTAAACGTCCTTTCTCCATATTCTAGTTAGATTCTATATTAATTCTTATTATTGGGGTTTTGGGGTTTTGGGGTTTTGGGG